TGGGAAGTTTCAGAACGAAGGTGAAAGCGGAACTGGAATGGCTGACAAACTCCACACGCTCACTGCTTTAAAAAAATGGGACTACTATAGGCGGAACGAACTATTGCATCCTTCAAACGTAGACATCTAACTATATCTACACTATATTTACAATTTGAATGATTGGACGTGATTGAATTGAACATTTAAAGTACGTCCACACACCTTAAGGCCGATGTCAGACTTTGCGAATCGCGCGATTCGCTAGCGTCTGCGGTCGCGTCGCGGCCAGTGAATCACTCAATTGGCTGGTACCGCAACGCGACCGCGGACGCTAGCGAATCGCGCGATTCGCAAAGTCTGACATCGGCCTTAGCACTGACAAAGAATTAATATTGATAAGATGAATGCATGATGCGTCACACAAACTTTTCACAGGCTTTCTGGAATTTGATGCGGATGAAGCACTATATTAGACACATGATCGTAAATAAGAGCAAACCACAACTTGTAGCACTCATTCAGTCTCACATAAATACGTATTGCAAGAGTAGAAATCCGAAAGGATTCATAGAGTATGCTGACTGGGCAATGACGCCAACTGATTAGTACAGTAGAGTACAGAGCGCTTGCTACAGCGAGTACAACTCACCATTGCCTGCCAAGGCGCTTTCATAGTCGGTGGTCCGATCGTAACGTCGTAACGACCGCCAAGCACTAGATACGTATCGATTATTAGTTCATCTGACACGTCTAACGATAGATACTTATCTGATGCTGTGTGTTCGTTACGATCGGACGACCGACTATGAAAGCGCCCTGGCTTCACTAATTTCGGGTTAGGTGCGCTTGATCCAGGGTGTAGCAAATCGTAACAACTTAGAAGTAGACGGAATTAGAAAGCAAAAGGTGGAAATAACTAACTGATGAAAAAGTTTGGAATTAAAAACGAAGTTTAGCTTCTGTTACGTGATTACCTGCAACACAGTCAGGGCACCAACTTTTCCCATCGACTTTTGACCCTGTAAACAGGACGAAGACTCGACCATT